AAGAAGAAGTGAGGTTCTTACCCACAAAAGCTTATGCTCCCAATACTTCTGTTAGTCTTAAAGGTGCCACAGGACCCTCTGATACACGCACAGTATAAGTTTTAAACAAACAATTTAATACTGGTACACAGTGATGATGATTGTGAAGCTTAGTTGAGGTGGAGGAGTCAGAGGGTGTATGTCCTAAGCCCTGTTGTGTGTCTCCCCTGCTCTATGGAAGATGGGGTAAGCGGGGTGCAGGAGCAGGTGGGAGAGGGACACCCTGACATTAGCCCCCCTCTTCCTTCCCTCCCCCCGGCAAAGCAAGCAGGAGTCTTGGGGAGCAGCTCCAAGGCAGAGGGCAGAAGCAGCACATGGCAGTGCGGGGAGGGACAGCTGCAATTGCTAGCCTGCTGAGCAACTGCTCCACAGGGAACTTAGGGAAACAGGGAGCTGATAGGGGGTAGGGTGACTAGATGACAAAGATTAAATATCGGGATGCGTGGGGGGGGGGAAGTGGAGAAAAAAAAAAGCCGTCAGCGGAGGAAAAAAAAAAAAAGAAAAGCCACCGGAGCGCCCCCCTCCCACCCACCCCCCGCCGAGCTCAGGAACCTGGGCAGGGGTCGAACCAGGCAGACGGGCCCGGCCCCTCCTGGCAGGAGCGTGTCCGTCCCATGCGTGTCTCCGCCACACACCCGGGCCCTGCCCGCTCCGCGCTGCCCCCGGACCCACCGCGCTGCCCGGCGGGCTGCAGCCCCCCCGTCTCCCTCCTTGGGGAGCAGCTCCCTTGCCAGCCCACCCGGTGCCGGACCTGGACCTAGACCTACTCACCAGCTCCAGGAAGCACCCCCCTCCCACCGTCCCTCCAGGCTTGCGCCGCCATACAGCTGCAAGCCTGGGAGGGAGGAGGAATGCCGCGTGCTTGGGGAAGAGGCGGGGCCAGGGCAGGGATTTGGGGAGGGATCCAATGGGGGAAAGAGGGGGTGGAGTCGGGGCGGGGGGGGGGCAAGAACCCCTCCAGGAGGGCAAAATTGCTTGTTTGTCCAGTGTCCCGACCGAACATCAGTCGGGACACAGGACGAACAAGCAAATATCGGGACAGTCCCGATAAAATCGGGACGTCTGGTCACCCTAATAGGGGGGCTGCCAGTCCACCCTGGTTCCAAGCCCCCACCAGCTAGCTGCAACGGGCTGCTCTTCCTGCCAGCAGTGGACAAAGCCGGCGGCTGCCAAACAGTGTTAGAAGGGAGCATTACACAACTTTAAATGAGCATGTTCCCTAATTGATCCACAATGTAACAACGAAACAACATTAACCGGGACGACTTTAAGTGAGGAGTTACTGAACTAGCCTCATTCCTACTCTCCCTGTACCTTTCCATCAAACTTTGCTTTGTGGAAGATGCTAAAAACAGCAGCAGCATTGCAGACTATGCATGAGCTCAGGAAATTCTGTCTCCCCAGTGCTTAAACAGAACTAACTGATTCTGCTGCCCCTGGGGCTTTCCACAGGTGTTGGGAAAGCGGGAAGATTTTTCCCAGTGCATCCTACGTGACGCTCTTCCTGAATTCAGAAAATAGCAACTATAGCAAATACTCAGCCAAAAATATATAAAACATTTATCGGTGGCTTGGCTAATTACATTGAATGCTCTATCCAGAGACTGGTGGGTAGCCTTTGTTGGCTTCAGCTTAAATGTCTAAATATCTTAGCTTACCTAGTTGTTGAGGTGGTAATGAGCACTGGTTGTAAGAGCCAGAAGTGAACTGGGAGTTTTGGCCTAAATTAGAAAATTATAGTCACCATTAATATCTTGTGAAATTATTAAATGCTTTCATATTCTCAATCAAGGCATTGTTCATAACATGTAAAATAATTCTAAAATATTAATTAACTAATATTTAAAATAAAATATACCTTTACAGCTTAAAAAAGGAATGTTTTCAGAACAAAAGGGTATTCCTTCAGTGTACAAATATATGCTGATTTGTTATCATCAGAAAAGAGCATTGAAGCACTTCTGGTATTCAAGGAACAGAATAATTCCCCTTACAAATAATCACATGGACTTTACAAATTGATGTAAGGGGGGGAAACCTTCACAATGACCCTTGAAATTATGGGCACATTTTGCTCCCATTTACAGTAGTGTAAATAAGGAGTAACTCCATTGATGTCAATGGAATTACAGAATTACAGCCATGTAAAATAAGAGTAAGAGAAGAATCAGGTCCTAGAGATGTTTTTTCTATTTTTTTATATCTATGAATGAGAACATTTCAATGAATTTCAAATTGAGACAGACATATACAGTACATGAAAAAGTTAGAGATAAATTTATAGATCCTTCGGCTTCAAATAATTAGGTTGGCCATAGAAGGGCAGGCGGCCACAAAAGAGGGTATTTCTCTTTTTCTTGAAAACATCTTGCAAGTGAACACTTCGGGGCTATCAAGTCCTAATGTTAATTATGGATAAGAAAACTGTTTAGACAAGAAAAGCATGAGATATGCAGGCAAACAGGGTTCTCTTGAGGATACAGTGTACAGTTTGGTCACTGGTCTGTCACTGCTGATTTACATTTGGTTCACCTTAATGTTTCTGTAGCAGCAGGAAATATATTTTTCAGAGAAAGCTGTCAGGTTCAGGGATGTTGATACCATCCTAGCTTAATAATAAAATGGTTCTTGTTCATACAAAAATATTGAAATCTGATTTGTGGCCTATGTGGAGCTGATTCAAATTGATAAAAAACAAAAACCGGACATTACCAGTTATTAAAAATGTGAAGTGGTAGAATACATCTGACTTAATCATGTAGTCAGGCAGCTATATGGGAGCCAATTACTACTAGATGGGCCACCTAAGTTTCAACCAAATGGAATATTTCCATAATTAAAAAAGCAAACATTTGGAAGAACAAGTACTGAATTTACTTGACAAGCACTGACAACAGTGACTATGATCTAGTATAACTAACCTTGGGTGAGTCTATTCATTTATTAAAGTCTGTTATTCAAAGTTATTATCCTTTTGGTTAAATTTTGTATTCTGATTACATTATGCTGTCTGTTTACTAGTGACAAATAGTAAATTTTACCAATTGATCTTGGGGACATTGTAAAACGGGGTACAAAACTTCCCTATTTTTGTTTCATGAATATTGACAATCAATTGATGATTCTTTTAAGCATCTGCAAATTTAACTCAAGATAACATTTTACCAGAGTTTTACCACAGCAAACCAGCTACAGTAACTCCTCACTTAACGTCCTCCCACTTAACGTTGTTTCAAAGTTACATCGCTGCTCAATTAGGGAACCTGCTCGTTTAAAGTTGTGCAATGCTCCCTTATAACGTTGTTTGGCTGCCTGCTCTGTCCACTGCTTGTAAGATTCTGTGGAAGAGCAGCGACTTTACAAGGGAGCATTGCACAAGTTCCTCTTCTCTGCCTTCTCCCCCTCCCTCCCAGCGCTTCCCGCACTGCCAAACAACTGTTTGGAGGTGCTTAGGACTTTCTGGGAGGGAGGGGGATGAGCGGGGAAGCGCCGTGTCTCTGCTCCTCCCCCTCCCTCCCAGAAAGTCCGAAGCGCCACCAAACAGCTGTTTGGTGGCACTTAGGACTTTGGGGGTGGGGGGGAGGAGTGGGGATGTGGTGTGCTCTGGAGAGGAGGTGGAGTGGGGGTGGGAAGAGGTGGGCCTGGAGTGAAGCGGGGACAGGAAGAGGCGGGCCTGGAGCATTCCTGGCAAAGTCAGTGCCTGTTCTTCTCCGGGGAAGCTGCCGCTGCTGCTGTGAAGGTTTTTCCTAGCATCCTTGCCTGCAGCGGGCTGTGCCTGTGTGGGGTAAGCCAGGGGCACTTCCCAACCAGTATTATACAGTATATAATGCCTTTTGTCTGCCCCAAAAAAATTTCCTTGGAACCTAACCCCCCCGCATTTACATTAAATCTTATGGGAAAATTGGATTATTTTAACATCGTTTCACTTAAAGTTGCATTTTTCAGGAACATAACTACAACATTAAGTGAGGAGTTACTGTATCTCCCCAGGACTGGCCTTACCATGAGGCGAACTGAGGCGGCCACCTCAGGTGCCAGACTGAGGGGAGGGGGGCGCCACTAGGACCCAGAGTGTAGAAAATTATGTCTCTGCTGGTGCATATGTATTCTCTCTGCTCTAGATGCACAGAGATGGTGGAGTGCTGTGCTGAAGGAAGGCGGGCACAAGAGACATACCAGACAGGCAGGAGAAAAGGTGAGAGAGAATAACAGAAAGCAGCAGGAACTGCAGGGAGAGAGGAGGAGCCTCTTATGTACCTCTCTAGCACCCCCAGGAACCTGGACTGATTAACGCCAGCTTCTCAGGGAGCTTCCTGTTTCCTGCTGCTTCCCTGAACCCACTTGAGGAGAACAGGCAGTCAACTGAAGTAGTAGGAGCCAGTTAGGCCCTTAAGACGCTGATATCTTCCCTCACTCAGGCCCTGCTACCAGCCTACTTATTTGTCCCATTCAACTGAGTGTTGAGAGCACTATAGCTGGCACAGAACAGCAGTCATGAGTGAAAGAAGAAAACGCCCCTCTGGGGCAGCATTCAGAAAAAGAAAGAAAGCAAAGGAAGCTTTTCTATCTAAGCAGGAAGGAGCTCTCCTGAGATACATAGACACAAATGTTCATGGTGAGCCTTCTGGCCCCAGTGAGGATGTGAGTGGTGAGGAGATGCCTGATCTTCCAGTTAGACAGAGCGCAGGTGACCTGGCAGTTACTGCAGCATCCTTATCTCCATCTCAAATGGATGTAACCATGCACATTCCTGAAGAAAAGTGTAGATCAGAGAAGAGTGTGGTGGAGGCACAAGAAACAGCTGCTGCTGAGTTTAGTTCCTTAAGTCTACATGATCCAGGACTGTGGACCCACTAGAGCAGTAGCCTGAGGGACTTCCTTGTACTGCATGGGCCACAGCAAGTGAAAAACTTCATGTTCCCCAAAGACAATGAAAATAGAAGTTTCCATCCAACATATTACTGGCGTGAAATCCCCAATGGTGACAAAGTGGAGAGGCCATAGCTTATGTACTCAAAAACCCAGAATGCTGCACACTGTTTTTGTTGCAAACTCTTCCAGTCTAATGTTCCAGCCACATTGAGTTCTACAGGAACAAAGGACTGGAAAAATCTGGCTAGAAATCTGGCATGCCATGAGAAGGCAGCAAATCACCAGAGAGCTTTCCATAGGTGGAAAGAGCTTGAGATGAGACTAAGGTTAAAGGCCACCATAGATGATCAGCATCAAGAGAAGATTGCATCAGCGTCTCTTTACTGGCAAAACGTTCTGATAAGGCTCATTGCCATGGTGAGAATGCTTGCTACCCAAAACCTAGAACTGCGTGGCACTTCAGATCAGCTGTATGTGCCAAACAATGGAAACTTCCTTAAAATTGTGGAGCTGATGGCTGAGTTTGATGCTGTACTCCAGGAGCATCTAAGAAGAGTCACCATTCAAGAAATGTACACACAACACTACCTTGGAAAAACAATTCAAAATGAGATCATACAGTTACTGGCAACAAAAGTCAAACAGAAGATTGTGGCAGATCTGAAGTCAACAGGATATTACTCTGTTATTCTGGACTGCATACCTGACATCAGCCATACGGAACAAATGACTTTAATGGTGCGTTTTGTAACAACAACAGAACCTAGTGAAAATGTCCCTGCAATGGTGACTGTCAGAGAGCATTTTCTAGAATTTATTGACTTTGATGATACTACAGGAGTTGATATGACAAATGTGCTTTTTAAAAAGCTGAAAGATACGGGAATTGCGATAGCTGACATGAGAGGTCAGGGCTATGATAATGGTGCCAACATGAGAGGAAAGAACAGAGGAGTGCAGACATGGATCCGAGAGTTAAACCCTCGAGCTTTTTTTGTCCCATGCAGTTCTCGTTCATTGAACTTGGTGGTCAGTGATGCAGCAAGGCTGCTGAATTTTTAAATGTAATTCAAAGCCTCTATGTATTTTTCTCTGCATCAACTCATTGATGGCAAATTTTGAAGCAACATCTGGGAACATCCTCTCTGACACTGAAATCACTGAGTGCCACACAATGGGAAAGTCGAGTGGAGGCGATAAAGCCTATCAAACACCAAATTGGGAAGATAGATGATGTTGCCATTATGGAGGATAATGCTATGACAGGAACTTTCATGGGAGAACAGTGGCAGAGGGAAATGGAATCACCAGAAACATACATGACTTCAAATTTCTGTGTGGCTTAGTGTTGTGGCATGACACACTGTTTGAAATAAATGTTGTAAGCTAGAGACTCCAAGGTGTTGACCTTGATATATCTGGAGCAATGGACCAGCTGGACAAAGCGAAGTCATGCCTACAGTCTTACCAGTCAGATGAGGGATTTCAAAACGTTCTGAAGAGTGCACAGAAGTTGGCAGAGGAACTTCACACTGAAGCTATTTTCCCACCCGTTCAAGAATACAAGAGTCACCAAAGAAGAAGACATTTTGATTATGAGGCACAGAATAACCATAAGGGACCCCAAACAACAATTCAAAATTGAATTCTTTAACCAGGTGCTAAATTGTGCAATACAGTCAGTTAAAGAACATTTCATGCAGCTCAAGGAACACAGCAGTATATTTGGGATGTTGTATGATATTTCAAAACTCTTCACTATACCTTGAAGACCTACACCAGCAATGCAGGGCACTAGAGACAGTGTTGACACATGATGACATGCGCGATACTGATGCGAGTGATTTAGGTGATGAACTGAAAGCCCTTTCAAGATACATTTCAGCAGGATCAACTCCAAAGGCCGTTCTTGGAATATATGTGCACAAATAAGATGACCACCCTCTTTCCAAATGCTTTTGTTGCTCTGCGCATCCTTCTAACACTTCCTGTAACAGTTGCCAGTGGAGAACGCAGCTTCAGCAAGCTGAAGTTAATAAATACACATCTACACTCCACAATAACACAGGAGAGGCTGGTTGGCCTTGCAACCATCTCAGTAGAGCATGAGCTGGCCCAGACTGTGGACCTTCAGCAGGAAGCAGTTCAAATCTTTGTAACCAAGAAGGCACGGAGAGCACCACTTTGATTATTCAAACAGACAAAAATGCTAGTGTTTACTATGCAGACAAGAAAAGTTACATTTGCTGTTCAGGCATTTGAAAGTTAAGTATTACTTAAAATTTTTGAACAAGGCATTTTAAGTTGTTAGTTCTCCTTTATTGGGGTAGGCAACAGAGCAGTACGATGAGAGGAGTAGAACAGGAAGAAGGTAAAATTGAGACCTTTCAAAGTTTTGGCCCAAGCGAGGTGGCATGGGGGCCCGGGGCGGCTCTAGTTTTTTTGCCGCCCCAAGCACGGCAGGCAGGCTACCTTCAGTGGCATGCCTGCGGGAGGTCCGCCGGTCCTGCAGCTTCAGCGTACCCGCCGCCGAATTGATGCCGAATCTGCGGGACCAGTGGACCTCCTGCAGGCATGCCGCCGAAGGCTGCCTGACTGCCGCCCTCATGGCGACCGGCAGGCCGCCCCCCACACATGCTTAGAGCGCTGGTGCCTGGAGCCGCTGCTGATGGGGGCGTCATATGAGCTCCCCGGCCAAAATGTTGTGGGCTGGCCCTGTATCTCCCCCCCATTCCCGCCCAGTACACTGAGTTGTATTTCCTGCAGAGACTGACTTTTCCTCTCTCAGAAACCAGAAAAAATATCTGAAGGGAACCAACACATTGGTGTTTTCACACAGACTGGATTTTCTTTCTGATTATGGCTAGCGGAAGAGGAGAGTTGTTTGCCACAGCCCAGCTGATATTCACAAGTGGGAGATAGTATACTGTCACACTGTAGCTATTACAATAGATTGCTTGGGGGCTGGGAGGGAGGGGAGAGGAGACAGAACAATTGACAGCCTTCTTTAGCACTTAGGGTGGTAGACTGAGATATGGACCCAGCCAGACTATTACATATACATGGTTTGGTTTACCCATCATTCTGCATACTGAACTCCCACTAAAGTGAATGGGAGTTTTAAGTGCAGATTGTTCGCTGGACCAGGCCCTAATTAGCTGGGCTGCAATTTACCTCCAGATGAGACCATAAAATCAGAGAGGAGAGGAATGAAGAACTATTGCTAATGATGTTTTGACTAGCTGCAGAACACTAATCCTAATTTATTAGGATTCTGTATTTGCACACTTCAGTGTAAAAAAAATCATTTAAAAAAAATAGAATTAGTCCAGTAAAATGCAAATTCCTATGCAGTTGCAGTTTCATGTCTGGTTTTGAGAATTCAGCTGCCATATCCCTCTAAATATTTATTTTAAATTGTTTCCTTGGTTCTTTCTTCTTTGATTGACAGCCTGTATCCAATTATAATTAAAATATTAAAGGCTGTTCTGGAAAAGCAGTTAGTAGCTAACAATAGTCCTTATGATCTCTCCCAGCACAACTAACATCAGGGGAATCCTTAATCATGCTCAGCACAGTTAGTCTCCTGAACTCACCACTAAAGGCCATACATTGGTACTTAGAATGGGGTGATAGGAAGAATTAATGTGTGTTCAGTTGAAATGGGCTCTTTCATTTTCATAGAGCTGAATCAGGATTATTGAGCTCAGGCTTGGTCTACACTAAACCCCCAAATCGAAGTAAGGTACGCAACTTCAGCTACGTGAATAACGTAGCTGAAGTCGACGTACCTTACTTCGAACTTACCGCGGTCCACACCCGGCAGGCAGGCTCCCCCGTCGACTCCGCGTACTCCTCGCGGCGAGCAGGATTACCGGAGTCGATGGGGAGCACTTCTGAGTTCGATTTATCGCGTCCAGACAAGACACGATAAATCGAACCCAGAAGTTCGATTGCCTGCCGCCGAACCAGCGCGGTAAATATAGACAAGCCCTTAGTCACACAGAGACTACTTGGCAAAGATCTAGTGAAATGGGGTTTTGGTTGATTTCAGGCCCTTGAAGAAATGGTCAGGACTATGTTTGTAAAGGTAACATCTGACCTACAATCTCCCCAATAATTTCTATGGGAACTGTTAGTTTTCAAAAAGTGGAAAAGTGGAAAAATATTTCTTTAATAAGATGAGGGATGTCTCAGTATTACCTACACTAGCATGTCAATTTTATGATCAAGAGTGGTTGCAATGTAGTAAATTTCACTGTTATTATTTACACTTTCATCAATGAATTCCTCAGGCATTTGAATGTTCAAAGATAAGGTAAATATCCCTATTTAAAAGAAAAGTAAGTGATATAGTAAGTGATAAAGTTACATCTTATGTACCATAATGGTAAAGTTATATTTACTTTAAAGAATGTGTTTGTAACTCTACAGCATTTACAGCCTTAGTAGAAAAATACAACCTGTCCTTTAAGTTTCTCTGAAGGAGCGACAACAATATTAGTGGCATCTGGACCTTGCTGCTTTCGGATTCTGGCATAAATAGCTCTAACTTCCACCTGCTGCTTGATGGCTGTGAGAAACATTTTAGAAAACAAAGTATTAAAACTGTACTTTCAAAAATGTATTATCAAGATGTAAAAACAGCTATGATTGATACTTATGATACTTGGAAGCTTCTATCCAGCCAGTCACATACAGCACTACATATGTTAAAGGCATCATTACATGAGAGAATAAAGATACCAATAATACATTTAATGTGAATTACCTGGATTCTCAGCCATGAATCCCACTACAGAGCTTTAGAGGAAATGATTCAAGATTTCATGATAGGTATGCAGTTCATATTGGTCATTACAGTTCTAGCCAACTTTGTATATCACATAAGCTGCATGCAGAGAGCAGAAGGCTGGTGGGTGGGGTGGAGAGAATCATTAAAGTAGAGACAGAAGAGCTGGAAACTGCAGCAGCTTGACCTTGTGGCGTTTCTAAGTAGTCATCCATTCAAGCATAAGTGTGTTTGGGAGTCTAGAAGAGAAAAGGGAGTGTGGCCTTCTAATCCCAAGGATACCCAAGGTCTTTGAGGAAGAGAAGCCCTAGTTCCAGAGAAAAGAAACATCTTAATGCAGGCCTGACCCTCCCTGCAGCTCTGCTGGGTCTCTTCCTTCCTATAAGAGCAATAGTGCTATTGGTCAAGTCTCATCACAGTTACAAAGTAACAGCCTAAGAAAGGACACTGAGGATGTTAATGTTGAAAACAACAGGAAATGCTGATCGAATATCCAAAACCTCAGCAGGGAATGCAATTTGGCGGGTCACCTGCTTTAATCCCATCATCCTTGTCTCCAAAATCTTGTGGAGTCCTCACCCCACAGAGCTTTCATAGAGTCTCAGAGAGCTCAGGACAATACTGTGTTTCCCTTCAACACCTGCCAAGAGAAATCTGGTGGATCTTTGTTTCATCAGCTTGCAGAAATGGAAGGGATAATTTAGTTTTTGGATTTCAAAAAATACTGGGATAGTAGTCAGATTTAGAGTGGCACAAGGGAGATTTAAATATTTCAAGACAGAAGTGGAAGAATCAGGGAATATGATGTACTGGAACTCACCTGAGTGATACACTATATACTGCAAAATTGAGTTAGAGCACATTATGGACTACAAGCTGGAAAAAAAATCCCCTCGGTGAACATAGGGATCATTGGAATAGCCAACGTACCTTCTCAGATTTTGATTAGTGGTGCTGGATGTAGGTTTTCTTTGAAATTATTCTTTAATTTCACATATCAAGTAAGACTATGATCTTTTCTTATGGCTAAAATATTTTGAAATCAAATGTTATAATTTACGGCACCAAATAAAAACTAGTTTTGAATCTATTCGTGTGACTCTTGCTTATTAATACCATGTTCTAAATCATTCTGTACACAGCTCAAGGGGACACCAAACAATCTATTATGGTGTATTATGTTTATAACCATCATGCTGCCTGCTTCCTTTCCCACTCGGTTCTAACCAACATGTCACAATAGAGCAGTATGTGAAAAGGCAATACATTCATGGCATTTAGAAGTGCTACATCTCTCAATTATGAGAAGTAGTAGTAAATAATTGCAACTGCACAACAGAAATACAGACTACATCTAGAATGTTTTGTTGCCAGTGCATGACCTCTTTTGGTCACCTCACTAAATCAAAATTATTTAGTAGTTTATGCCAAGAAGTGTGTGTATCTAATCTAATCATCTAAAAGTAAAACCTTATGGTAGAACCTGGACTAAACATAGCTTAAAACAAGGTTTTAATTTAATTAGGTGAGGACACTTCTAGCCCACATCAACATGAAGCGACATACATAAGGCAGAATTTACTAGCTACATCAGCTTTCCCAGGCTAATATGTTCAATAATGAACTGTTTGTATGTATTTTTATACAGCCATCCAATTCACTGTTTCTTTTTAAGCAATGCCAATACAGTGGTCCTTTGAAATGTGGCTTTCTGATAATGCAGAATATAAATATTGATCACCACTTTCATTTCAGCTGGACAGAACATACTTCAGTTTATTGGAGGATAAGATATTCATGAAAGCTACTGTTATTTATCTCACTACTAAATCTCTCTGTTGTTTTTTCTCAATTTCAAAGGGCTAGATTGTGCAGCTTTGAATGGGCACACCTACCCTGTAGCTGCCCCTTCTGGCCAAGTATGGGTTTACTGAGGCCTTCCTCAGTTTCTCCTTAACTGAGGCACCCTTAAAAGAGTTCCTACAGGCCAGATATTCAAACAGTCTCCTTATGGAATCTCATTTATTATACCCAGCATGAAGTCTTTCAAAAGTAAACTCAAACCTTCAAAGTCTTCATCCCAGTTTCAGCTAGGCCCAGTCCCTCCTCCCTAAGGGTCTGTCCTCTCTAACAATTCATTTATTTTTTCCCAGTCCCAACCTAAGCACCAGCCTTCCTCTCCAAGGGCCTGTATTTCTACTCTCTCAGTACAAATTGCCTGGAACTTGACCTTCTCAGCTGATGTTCCCCCCTCCCTGCCCTCAATAGCCTTCTTACTCCCTGCAGTGTCTAGAGAAGAGGTTGCAAACACGCGGCCTGGGGGCCGCATGCGGCCCGCGGGGTTGTTTTCTGCGGCCCGCGAGCTCCTCGCGCCCTCCCCCAGCGTTTACCTAGAGCGGCTCCAGCCTGATGCGCACCGGGGGAAGGGCAGGCCACCTGCCTGCCTGTCCCCGCACTGCTCCGGAAAGTGGCCGAAACCTGGGGGAGGAGGGGCACAGGGCTCTGTGTGTTGCTCTTGCTTCAGGCAGCACCCCCAGCAGCTCCCATTGGCTGCAGTTCCTCGTTCCCGGCCAATGGGAGCAGCTGGGGGCGGGGTCCCTAGCTACAGAAACACACAGACCCCTTCTGCCC